CCCCCCCCAAGTCTTCACATATCTAGACAAGGCAATGGGATTTTTGTGTTGTTGTTGTTTGCCTTCAAGACATTTCCAGCTTATGGTAACCCTAAGGTAATCCTATATCACAAGGTTTTATGTGGCTGAGAGTATGTGACTCACCCAAGGTCACCCAGTGGTTTTCCATGGCCAAGCGGGGAATGGAACCCTGATCTCCAGAGTCGTAGTCCAACACTCAAACCATTACACCACACTGGACTTTGTGGACCGCACTAAAGTTGGGTCTGCAATTGCTTCATTCAATGTGATATACAAAAAATGACTTACATAACCATATTGTGTGACCTCTGCAAGGTCTATCATCATACAAGTCTCTGATGGAGTAGTATGGAACCCACCACAGCTGATGCTGTACATTTGCTGGGCTGACTGGATCTCATCCAAAAATGTTTTCTAGATCCAACAGGAACATTGGACAATGGTGGCCATTTTAGTCTTGCCTCCAATATGGTTTTGTGCCTGAGCAAGGCTGTGTAAAAGCTGGAAGCTAGATCTGGAGACCTGGGGTAGGCGAATTATTGCTGGCAGCCAGAGCCAGGTGTTCCTTTCAATGTTTCCTGAATTGGATCAACTGTTGCTCCCTGTGTCAGTCCATTACTTGCTCAGTAACTCCAGCCCAGCTGTTATGGGGTGGAAATAGAGCTTGGAAAGTAACTTTGAAAAGAAATTAAAGTTATAGTTCTAAGGCCCAAATTAATCTGCCATTATACAATGGGCCCTTACTATCCACTGGAGTTTGGTTCCAGGATCCCCCTTGGATATAAAAATCCATGGATGCTCAAGTCCCATTAAATACAATGGAATAATAAAATGGGGCCCCTTGTATAAAATGGCAAAATCAAAGTTTGCTTTTGGAATTTATATATTTTTAAATATTATCAAGCCATGCATGGTTGAATCCATGGATATGAAGGGTCAACTGTAGTTTCTATTTCTGATTCTCAAAAGTCACTAAAAAAGAATACCCTTTTTGTTGTGTTAACAAAAATCTGAATACAAGCCTCTGGCCTATGGAGCAAAACCCTTTCACCTCCCACACCTCAGTGCCCAAAACAAGGCATGAGGCACTAGCGAACACTTGACCCACGTGTCATTGCTCTTCCTCCATTTAGCGAAGCCCCGCAATTTCTGCGAATTATAGTTTGTTGTGACACCAGAGCTTGCTGACAGAAAAGGCTAAATGTCTCACAAAACTACAGTTCCATAGCAATGAGCCATGGCAGTTAAAGTGGTGTGAAATTGGATTATATCTGCAGTGCAAATGGAGCCTTGTTGAGTTAACATTGCAGCATAGTTATACCTTCGCTATTAGAAAAAGGAATTGCTTATAAATGGCTTGCTATTTGAAATTGGTCTCTTCCAAGATCTAGTGGGAGAAAAAGAGTTGTGCCCGGAAATAGGGAAGGCAGATGAGAGGTTTGCTCAAGACACCCTAGATCTAAATCTTGAGCTGAGCCTGGTTGTGCAAAAGTAATTGTAGGCACACTCAACTTTGTATATGCTACTAATAAAAATAGGAGGATTGCTTTCCCTGTCTTTCAGTCAGTGGAACTATTCCACAGCTTAGCAATACTTTTTTTTTTGGTAATTTTTGAAACCTGAAATTAATTTTGTTCCCCTCCAGATTAAACTTCCCAGTGTTTTATGTAAGGTCATCTGTAGAAGTAATTTATCTGTCTGTTCACAGCTCACTGGAGAAGAAATTGAATGCTGTTACAGTTCTAGTAAGAGACTCTAGATGTCAGGTTGTGCCAGGATTCCTATAAAAAATATTGTATTTTCCACTTTCTTAGTAACCATGCAGCTGTTCTGTTTGCAGCTCTTTTCTGTATTCTCTGCAGTGATGTGCCTGTGCAAAAAAACCAAGGTCAATGCTCTTGTGGATGTTCAGCCTGGCTGGGGATTTTATATTTACATTTGATTCACTCAGACACGCTGAACAATCTGATTTCCCCCATTTTGTTGAGAGTGGAAGAACTACATTTAATTTCAGGTGCACCAATAAGGAATACAAAAGCTCCAAGGCCCAGTTCACATTATTATTTTCTATATAGCACACCACAATGGGCAAACCTGGCATGTGAACCAGGAGATAAAGGCAGGGTTACACATAATAAGTTGTCTAGTCATCTATGGAAAATAAGAAATGCCTTTAGGTGACCAGGTTAGGCAGTGTTATAAAAGTTTATTCTTCTTTCTTTGTGGGTGTGGTGGAAAATAAATCCACATTAGTGGCTCAATAAAGGTTATTTGTTGTGGTTGTTATGTGCCTTTATATCAATTCTTTTATAGGATCCTACCACAAAAGGAGCGGGTTGCAAGATTTTTTGAGAGAAGGTTTATCATGGCTTTCCTCTGAGTCTGAGAGAGTGTGACTTTTTCAAGATCACCCACTGAGTTCCCAAAGGTGAGAAGGTATTCGAACCATGGTCTGACAGAGTTTTTTTGGTTGCCATGCTGGAAAATGAATGCAGTTTGACATCGATTTAACTGTCAGGACTACATCCTATGGATGGCACCAAAGCTCTGACAAAACTATATCTGACAAAACTACAAGTCTTGGAATCCCATACCATTGAGCCATCACAGTTAAAGCAGTGACAAACTGCATGAATTCTGCAGTGTAGATGCAGCGATTTGACAAACCACGAGACCAGGGGTAGGCAACCTTTTTGAGCCGGGGGCCGGGTTGCTGTCCTTCAGACAATTGACGGGCAGAAGCACCATAAATAAATAAATAAATATAAAAATTAAAAAAGAATTTGAAAATTAAAAAAAATGCATGCACACTCTCTCAGCCCCAGAAAAGCCATGGCAAAACCCCTGTGAAGATTTTGCCAAGAAAACTCCAAGAACAAGTAATATAAACAATAATCAAGATCATCATGGGGGGGGGCGGCGGTGGGGGGGGCGGCGGCGGCAGGACCGGTTTGGGGCCGGTCCAAAGGCCTTGCTGGGCAGCATCCGGCCCCCGGGCCTTAGGTTGCCTACCCCTGCACTAGACTATTAAAAGCAATAATCCCCTTGACTGCAGCAGTGCTCTCATCAGTTGTTTCTGTCAAATAAATAGTTACTGGCTCTTAACTTTGCACAGCTCACTCACCATATTCTGTGTTGGTGGAAGTGACAAAGTGAAGATGAAGGCTGCATCCACACTGTAGGGATAATCCAGTTTGATACCACTTTGACTGTCATGGTTCAAGGCTATGGAATTCTGGGAATTGTGGTTTTATGAGATAGAGCTCAGAGAACTCTGGTGTCAGAACAAATTACACTTCCCAGAATTCCATAGCCTTGAGCAATGGCACACAGGATTACTTCTGCAGTGCAGATGCAGCCCTTGTCTCCCCTCTAAACACACTCAGAAACCAATTAGTACATAATAACAGTTGATCACTGGCAAAATGAAAACCTAGAAAGAGGAGCTAGTATAGATGCCCAGCCTGTTTGCACCAGAGTTTTACTTCTATTAATGCCAGCCAATTTGGGTTTACTGTCATGACAATACTGTAGCACCTGGGAATGCTGCATTTACAAGCCGTAATTAAAAGGCCGGCTTCCACTTCACCATTCAACAATGTTAATGCTCATGCGAGATAATAAAAGCCCTTGCCAAGTTAATTTCAGCTCTGTTAGAAGCAGAGAAACAGTAACTGCTTGGCAAGAGTGGAAGAGGAGAAACCGGGGAGATAAATGCAATTTAAATTTTAAATTTTGATGGGAACATTATCAATCACAAGATAAAGAACCGATTGTTGTGTTGAAACAAGCAGAGTGATTACTTCACAAGCAAGTAAATGAATTGCTTTCCTTGTGTTGTTTGTGCTTTGAAGGTGCCACTAAATTTCACATCTCCTCTCTAGTTCTCTGCGAGACCGTATGGTATAGTGGTTTGAGTGCTGGACTAGGGAGACCAGGGTTCAAATCTCTGTACAGCCATGGAAACCCACTGGGCAAGTTACGCTCTCTCAGCCCCAGAGGAAAGAAGTGATAAACTCCATCTGAACAAATCTTGCCAAGAAAACCCCATGACAGATTTGCCTTAGGGTTGCCTTAAGTCAGAAATGACTTGAAGGCACATAACAACAGCATCAGCATCAGCAACAACAACTCCAGTTGTCTAAAAGCTCAACAGGGGAGTAATGTGGCTGAAGATCTACTTTATTTTCATAAAGCAGAATAGCTTTCTAGACTTCATTGGCTATCAGAATGGGACCACTGATGTCCAAGAATCTCTCCATGTCAAGATTTTTCTATGTTGGGGGTGGAATAAATAAATAAAGGCTAATTGCTACTCATTCAGACTACCAAAGGACTTAAAGCTACCATCAAAACATCTATAGTAGTAGATACACACATGTATCAATGTCTTTGGCCAAGTACTTC